AGGTCATTAAAAATTCTTTAAAAGAAACCCCTAACACGGTTCAAATTGTTAAAGATGGTGTAATTGATGTGGGTCAACTTGAGAAATTTATAAGAGGAACAATCAAGGATCAAGTTGATCAAGTTGAAACAAATACTCAACAATCCTCTACCTATATTAAACCATACACTCAGAGAATTGATCATATAAAGATGCCTGCAAATTACTAGCCTCTAAATTTCAACAATTTGATGGTAAGCGTAATACAAGATAGCATGTTGCTCACTTTGTGGAAACTTACAACAATGTTGGTATTGATGGAGATCTTATAGTTAAACAATTTGTGCGATCCTTAAAATGAAATGCTTTTGACTGGTACATTGATCTTTAACCAAGTTCAATTGATAGTTGGGAGCAAGTAAAGTGAGAATTCCATAATCATTTATATAGTGCACATTGTTCAATTAGCATGATTGAGCTTACTAATGCATGGCAATAGAAAGATAAACCAGTTATCCAGTATATTTATTATTGGAGAAATTTAAGTTTTAATTATAAGGAGTGCCTTTTTGAAGCATTTACACCTGATATATGCAATCAAGGAATGAATTGGGAATCACGATATATTCTACAAGGGATTAAGACCAAAGGCTTTCAAGAATTAGCAACACAAGCTCATGATATGGAGCTTAGTATTACAAGAGTAGGAAATCAAACTTCACTAACTCTTGAGCCAAAGAAAGTGAAAGATAAGTTTGAAATTTGATCTAAAACTGATGAAAAAGAATCAATGGTAGCTAACACAACAATGTTGGAATTTTCTAAATTTAAAAAGAAGCAAGAAGTGGGTTCAATACCTTCTCAAAGAAAGCTTAAACTAAGGGCAACTTTGTAAGAAAGATAAGAGACAAAGTATCATTTCCCAAATGTTGGTCTAGTTGGTTATTCTCAAAAATGAAGAATTAGTTGAATCCTTATACATGATGGATTGACAACAAATATACTTCCTATCAAGACAATGAAGGACATAAAGATTTGAAAGGAAGAACTCCTTCAAAGTTGATTAATGATTCAAGGCTTTAACTTATGAGAACAGACAATTATTGGAAAAAAAAGATTGAATTTGCTTATTGACGACATAGATCAAGTGTATTATTTCATGTTATTGATGCAAAACAACTTATAATATGCTCTTATGATGACCATGGCTACATGAGAATGGTGTTGTTTCATACTTCACTAATGTTTCAAATATTGCAAAAATGGTTGAGTTGGAACAGTTACTGTAGATTCCAATCTTTCTCTATAGCTAAATCTTATTTTCATGATGCCAAGTTTTATCTTGAGGAAGCTACAAAAAAGAATGCATAAGAAGTCATGTTTCAAGCCACAGAGGAAGTAAATCCAAAGTAAGAAACACAAAGGGCGGCACAAAAACAAAATCAAGCAACCTTACCAACAAAGAATGATAAAGGCAAAGAGAAGAAAGAAGATAAAGCTAAAGCTTTTTAATCAAGCCTTATTCTTCACTATGTGCTTATATTAAGAACAAAAGAAGGTCAATTTGCTTTTACTTGGGGGTTAAGATGAGCTAGTTAAGGATTTGAAAGGTTTGAATTTACCAATCACTAGCCTTGTTACGCCAAAGATTGCTAAATCTCCAAATGAAGAATCAAAAAGGCTAAAACAGTGCTCTTCAACAAAGCAACTACATTTGCTTGTGAAGCGACTTAATGGTTTTGACCCTAATGTCCATATGATATTGGCAGAATCAAGTTATGAACAAAATGAAGCTATTCAATTAATTCAAGAATTTGATGAAGATCCAAAGAAAGGTGTAAATGGATCAATGAATCTCTTTAGAGTTTAGAGAGAAAAGAAAGCTTTTCCTTAAGGGTCTCAAGAAAGAATTAGCTATTACTTTGTCTCTTATCAATTAAAGATATACAAGGAGATTGTGTAACATATTACTATTGAAGAAGTAACTAACAAAAGAAAATAAATCCTCAAAAACTTTAGTCTTTGATTGCCTTGGTACACCTACAACTAAAACTTCCAGTCTTTCATCAAATTGGCAAGAAAAAAGTTACTTTTTCTATGAAGAAAGTTCCAATTCGTAAGAGATTGAGAGTAGTGAAGAGAAAGAAGTCAAAGTTAAGGAATTTTTCTATTATTTCAGAGGAAATCCAAGTATATTCCCATTGTGAATAAAACAAAAAAATGAATGGATGGTGACTTTTGGAGAAATGTTGAAAGCCAAGATGAGAACTATTATCTTTATAAATGAGCAAGTGTATTCCTAAGAAATGGAGAGAGTCAAGAAATTGAGTCTTCTAATCATATTATGATACAAGATGAATGTCAAGATGAGCCTTCCATTGAAGAATGTTGAAAAGATTCCATTCATTCTTTGAGGTTTGGACTCAAGCCATAGTTGATGAATTAAATGAAAATAGCCTTAAGACTACTGAAGATCTATGCCATGCATATTTGCATGCAACTTTATCCCTTAAACAAGAAAGTGATTATATAAAGCATTTTGAAATTATAATGAATGAAACAAATAATCATGAAATACAATCATGAAATACTATCATTCATGAATGGGTCTTTTGGTTACAATCAATTGCCTTTTAAAGGTGAAGAATCTATGATCTTTCAAACTTCAAGTATGTATTACTACAAAACTATACCTTTTGGTCTTAAGAATGTAGGAGCAACTTATCAATAAACAATGAAAAGAATTTTGTCTTATATGTATAATTTTTAAAAATTTAAGGCATTGGAATCAAAAGCACGAAGAACAACAAAGCAAAATAATGTTATCAAGCAAGATTTTCAAAAGCCATGAAGAGACCTCAAGCATTTCAGATTGTTGACAAGTTTAGTGAACCATGTGATGGCTTAATCCTTCCTTTGTGAGGGTACATAGGCAGTTTGGTTCCAAATTCTAAGTTCAATCAAACCAAATAAAAAAAAAGGTTGATAAATTGTTTGAAGTACATTATAACTTGATCCTTCTTATGTAAAGGTACATAGGTAGTTTGCATACCAAGTTCAATTAAACCAAGAAAAGAAAATTACTTCTATGGATTCATTCTTACAAAATGCATAAACTTTCAAGAATTTCATTTTTTTAAATGGATATTGTTAAAAAATGGTTTGCATTCATAGCTTTGTAAGAATTCCATTAGAGTGTGTAGTCCCTTAAAGAGAAGGACCAATTAATGCGACAAGTTTTCAAACAAAATTTAGCTTTGAAGATAGTATGACATGTTGCCAATACAAGTAAGGTGTCAATACCTATATCATCGTGTCGACACTTGAGATTTGAAGAGATAAAAATCCAACCTAGAACTTTTGACCAATGCAAGCAACATGTCAACATCTATCTCATAGTATTGACACTTTACAACTTGTAAAAAGAACAAAGAAAATTTTGATATGGATCTTTTTGGTAAATGCAAGCAATGTGTAAATATCAAACTCATAGTGTTGATGCTTCATGATTTGTTCAAGAAAAAAAATTTACATATAAAAATTGCTTTGGGATAAAAGACCAACGCGAATATATTTGAGAAATTTAAAAGTTAAGTGTCCACAGTTTGTGCATTTTCAATATTTTTAAAGGGATGCAACAACAGAAGAAGATAAATAAATCAACATTCTCAAATTAAATTTAGTTTTTATCAAGAGAAAAGAAAATAATGATAGTTGTAAAAACAAATTGAAATTGAAAATAATTATACAAGCAATTATGAGAGAAATCTCAAAGAATAAATGTGAAAATCATCTCTTCAATATAATTATTGTTATTTATTTTTATCAACTCATGTGTCTCTTACGTCAATTCTCGCAAAAGTTATAATTCTTTTGAAAAGATGATATGCAATAATGTGAAAAAGAAAAGAAATTCAAGTTTGAAGAAATGTCAGAAATTATGGGGGCATTCAAGATTTTGGCCAGCTCAAAATAAGCCAAAAGATAAAATGGAAACTTGTCCACTTTGCAACAAAATTACAAGTAAACAAGTCTTGAGGGGGCATTTGTAGATATGAAAAAAATATTGATCAATTAAAAAATGCTACGTGTTAATTTAGGTTTTGAAAAAAATATTATTTTTGACTTATTAAAATTATTTTCATGAAGTCTTTAGATCGATCACAAAATGAATGTGTCCTAATCAAAATTTAAGATATTTAAAAGGAAAAATCTTATTCTTAAAAAAAATATTCATAAAATAAAAGTATTAAAAACTAAAAGAGAGAAGTAATTAATTTCTTAGAAAACCAAAATCATTAATTAAATAAAGACTCAAATCTTTTTATCAACAAAAGTTTTCATTAATCTGATCACTTTTTAAAATGTATGACAAAAAATAGAAAATAAGATCCTAAAACAATTCAAAAACTTAAAAAGAGAAGATCTTTGAGTTTGAGTTCATTAGAAATCTCAATTCCTAATTTATTTGATATGCAAGAAATTCATTTATTTAAGTTATAATATATTCATCTTTAGCAAAACATAAATTATAAATTAAGTTATTTTTATATTTGAAAAGTGGTTATAATAAAAATATTAAAAATTGTATTGATATTGAGTTGTTAAATATGAAAAATTACAAAAAATTATCAAGATTTAAACAAGAATAATTTAAAATTTTATATGATAAATATAATATTTAAAAATTTTAAGAGGTAAAACAATATATGAACTAAATTTGCAAATTTTCAAAAGTTAAGGGGGCAGCGCCCTTGCGTCCGCTCCCCCGCCCCTGGTTTCCAAGAAACCAGCTGGTTCGCTGTTAAGTTGGAAACAACCGCTTGAATAAAGGCGGGCCCACCAATCAATTTAATTTCCGTGCTTGCGTCATGCGATGATTTTGCATGCCGTGTGAAAGCACAACCCCGGTTAAGATTTTTGTGGGCACAAGAAACGAGTCAATTTTAAAGTCATTCTTTTTTTTTCTTTTTTTAATGCTGCAGTGTCTTTATATACATCCATGTTCACAACCGAAGTAGTCAAGGGATGAATCCTTCTCCATTATGGAACCCATGGAAGAGAAAGAAAAAGGGAAAACAACCTCTTCATCAACAAAGGTTGAGAGAAAGGTCATTGAGAAGAATAGGAGAGACCAAATGAAGCACTTGTATTCCTCGCTCAATTCTCTCCTCCCCCATCAACCCTCCAAGGTAATTTATACTTTCTTTGTTTTAATTCACAGGTGCAGTTCCGTGGTTTGTAATCTCATGTTAAACTACAAATTATAGACCATGAATTGAAAGGGCTTGGCTATGCATTCAGGGCCCTTTCCTTTAATGATTTATATTAGTTCAGTTAGTGTAATCGAGATCGTAGAATATATTTTTTTTTGTCATAAGGGGTGAAAAAAATTTTGTTTCAATTAATGCGGTTCACTTTACAGAAGCCATTAACGGTACCAGATCAGATAGATGAAGCTGTGGATTACATAAAGAGTATGCAGAAAAGGTTGAAGGAATGCGAGGAGAGGAGGGAGGAGTTAACGGGCAGAAAGAGGGTGCGCGGATGCAGCAATATTTATGGTTCCGATGCTGCAGGTTCGAGCTCAAAATCTGCTGAAATTAAGATTCATGAAATGGGTTCTGATCTTCAGATTTTTTTGATAACTGGGTTGGAGAACAAGTTCATTTTCTATGACATTATTCGCATTCTGCACGAACAAGGAGCAGAAGTTGAAAACGCCACTTATTCTACTTGGGGAGACAAAATTTTCCACGTCCTTCATGCAAAGGTACACCTTCCCTAGCTAACCTATATATCGTCCATCCTTCTATTTTTCTTTTTCCTTTTTCTTTTCTCCTTCTTCCCCGGAAGGCACATAGGATACACTAGTGTGGTGAATTATATTGTTAAGATGTTTTGTTTTTACACATTTTAATTAATGTATCTTTAAATAATTTTAAAAAGACATCTTTTAAAATACAATAAGTTGTCGACTTAAATTTTTAATTTTAACTTTTTGTTTTCAATTTAGTTGTTCAAATATTGTAACCAAAATTAAAAATTAATAGTAGCAATGATATACCGAATGTGGCCTTAATTAGATTTTTTCAATTCAAAAGAAAGTCCATCATCATGTATTGAGTGATACGCTTGAGCGCCGCAGCTCACTTTTCCAGATTTCCCACAAAAATCTCAATGCATAAGCAAACGTTAGATGGAATTTTAACTCCTTTGTTTCTTCAAATTGGTTAAGATAGCCACCAGTAAAGACTAACTCAAAATTTCAAAATCCCAAATTAAATTACTTACTTTTATTAATTTTGAGGATATATAGCTAATTAACAGACTGAATTTCGTCGTTTTTGTAGAATGGTGGCGTTGGAGGCGAAAAGATAACAGAGATATTGAACAAGTTTGTGTACGGATCAACTAATACTGAAGAAGAGCCATCAAACGATTTATGGGAATATTGGGACTCACTCGAACTCTGATTTCCAAATGAGTAGTATTTCCCGTGTAAAGAGACTTTTTATTCATGGTAGGCATGGCGTTTGAAAATTGTCTCCCCAGATTCTCAATACATTTTCCTTCTAGTTACTGTCTTCTTCTTCTTCTTCTTCTTCTTTTTTACTAATTCATTGAGAATGTTTCACTCTCTTTCATCTTTCACCTCTGTATCTCTTCACTTTTTCTTGTATTTACATTCTCAACATTATGTTGATTAACTCCCACCTTCTTATGGAGTTAGATCAATAATGTTACTTTCTTTTTTCTTTTGGATTGTATAATAAAATGTAATTTTTTTACAATTTTTAATCTACCTACTTGTATGGTATATGATTCTAATCTAAAATCTCTTGCTTCCATTGAGAGAAAATTACTATTGAGTTACTTGAATCGTTGGTATCAATAACTCTACTTACTGAATGATTAAATCATGTAACTCCTTTTTAGGGGTGATAAATTTTTATAATTCTTGTTAAGGTATTAGACAATCAACAACATAATAATTGATTTGATTCTTTATAATCAAATGATATATATAATTATAGAATTAACGGTTAGATTGTATTTAAGGTATGGATAATGATATTGAGACAACATTTTTGTACAATTTTTTTAATTATATGATTTTTACATATTATTAAATGAGTGGATAAATATAATATTACAAGTTTTAGTTGATAAAAAGAGTTAATCATTGAATAACACATAAGATTATATAAAAAAAATTATAAAAAAGAGATTATCTCTGAATCATTTTTGCCTTTAGGGCATTTCAATGTAATGAATTTATTTTTTGTATTATCCTAAAACCAATACAAAGACTTTTGCATACAAATACTTTTGAATTATAATAAAATGTCTATCTTCTAATTTTTTTCATCTTGTCTTCCTATACTCTAAAATGTGATAGTAGTAGAAAACTATTTTACCAAGAAAGTTTTTATTGAAAAAGTGGTTATAAAAATATGTACAAAAAGTTAAAAAGTCTTATATGTATGAAAACTTTATTAATTAAAAATTGTGTTAAGAAAAATAAATGTTTAAAATGTTAGTTTTACTTTTTGTTATTATAATATTAATATGTAAAAATACATAAATAAAAAAATTTAGAAGAGAAATTTCCCAAAATATATAAATAAATAAAAAATCAGAAAAGTATAGGTGGGAAATTTCCCAACTAAACACCCCCTTCATTGTTCCAACGAGCAATAAAGTCGCTTCTGATATTTCCAGGCATTACTTCACCAATTTCATCCAGTAATTTAAGCCTTTGCAGCTGAGCCCAACTCAATCAAGCCAAGCCTTTGAACAATCCAAATCCACCAGAACCTCCCACCAACAAAACCCCTGTTTTGACCCCTGCTTCTACCTAATACGGGCTTATGGGCTCTTTTCCCCATTTCAATCCTATGCCTGCTTCTATGTGGCCAGCTGGATGTTTTACTGACACTCAATTATCTTTTTGATGTTCTTCTTCGTTCACGCTTCTGCTCAAATTTGAACAGTGCGTCGCTGCCTGATTTTTCTTTCTGGCGGGATTTTTTGGAAATCTGGTGTGGCATCCTAGGCATTCTCAGGCGATACTCTGGCCCTCTTGGCGTCCCTTATGCTCCTTCTCAATGGCTACAACAACATTTTCTTTCTCTGTCTCTCTCTCTCTCTCTCTTTTATTTTTTTTTAATCTTTTCTTTTCCTGAATGCTTCTCCACAGTTCATCACGCCCCAAATTTGCATTGCTGCCAGTCTCTACCGCCACTCATAGAATTCTCTCCAACATCGACCAGCATAAGATCTGGTCCCTTCCAGGTAGTTTTTCTTCGACTTTTGATATCACTGGCTGCATCATCGGAATCTGAAAATCTTGCCACCCAACCAAAATTCTCCTTTAGCCAATGAGCATTGTCACTCTAAACTTCAGGGTCGGATCTGACCAGCGCAGTGACCCGCATGGCTTGCAAAGATAAAAGATTCACACACCTCTTCTTATTTTATGTCACTGGTTCGTTAGAATTTGACCGGCTCTCTATTTTGACCGGTTCATTAATCATTTGACTGGCTTGGTACTTTGGTTCAGTTCCAACATACACCTCTGTTTGACAACACTGTTAGTACTTTAATTTTTTATTTTTATATTTTTTATTATTATACAAATATATAAAATGTTAATTAAAATAATTATTAAATATATTTTATTTATTTTTAAAAATATTAAAAGATTAAAAAACTTATAACTTACTACACAAAAGCTCCCAATAAATCTTATAATATATTTGAATTAAAGAAAATGAAAAAAAAAAAAAGATTTTTTTAATCAATTACATTATAATATTTTTAAAAATTATAATCTGATTACTTAAAAAGTCTTCCTCTTCTCTTACCTCCCTTTCATTCCCTTCAAGCTAAATGTAATATAGTATTTTACGCAAAGTAGTCAATAACGTATCGGCATGCGTATCGGTTTTGTTATTGGAACGGTACGTACCGGATATCGGAATTTTTCGCGTACCGTTTTGGATTTATCGTTATAAAAAAATTTTATGAAAAATTTTGGGGAGAAGTTGAAGAAAAAAAAACAAGAAAAGGACTCAATTGAAAAAATTAAAAAGCTGAGGATGAAATTTACTAAAATAAACCCATAAGCCTAGCCCAATATTGAACAGCCCATCAAAACCCAAATTTAAAAAACCCTAGTTTCCTCCTTTTAAAGGGAGAAGGAGGAGGGCGGCTGCCAAACCAAAAAGACAAAAAAAAAGAAAAAAAGAAAGAGAAAACAGAAAAAAAAAAAAAACTTGATTTTTCTCCCTTCTGCAGATCCACCATCACCTCCGTTCTTTCACCTCGAATCTTCACCATCCCCTTGCTGAGCATCTCATCATCATCACAGCCTCCACCTTCATCACCGGTAATCACCAAAGCAGAAGGGTTCGGCAGCTACCAGAAATGGGGAGAAGATGAAGCAGATCTAGCCAGTAATCACGGAAGCGAAGCATTCATTGAATCTCCAACCCACCGACGACAGGTTGAGGAAGACGTTCGCGGCGTGCGGCGTGTGGCGTTCGTCGTTCGTGATGAAGAAGGAGAACATAAACAGATCTGTAATCTGAAATCCATTGTTTTTTTTTTTTTTTAGTTTGAACTTAGGTGTACCGGTGATATTTCGGTGTGTCCGTCGGTACACAAAATTTCGGCCGGTACATTGGATTTTGACCGAAACGACCGAATTTTGACCGAAACAAAATTTGATGTTGTACCGTTTTGGTCAAATATCAAAATCGGTACGTACCGACCATACCGGCCAGTACGGTACGGGATTGACTTCTTTGATTTTACGACATTTGCTTGTGGTGGTTTCTACTCCAGTTTTCAAGAAAATTTTTGGATAAGGATACAAATTTTATTCATTTTCTTATTCAAAGATATGAATTTTTTTGAGTTTCTAAATCAAGTGGTAAACTATTACTTTTTTTTATTTAAAGATATAAATTTTATTATTTTTTTATTTAAAAATATTAACTTTACCTAATTTTTTATTTTGATTGTTGTTTGCAATATTATCATCGTAATTCAATAAATCTTTAAATAGAGAAAAACATAAAATTCGTATTCTAATTTATAAAAAATAAAAATTTACCACTTAATTTAGAAATTTAAAAAATTTATATTTTAGAAAAAAAAACAAATTTCATATTCTTATTTGCAACTTGTCTAGTTTTCTTCCGCTTTAGATCTTTTTTCCTACTTTCAAACTCATGTTGGTTTAGTAGTTCTTCAGTTTGGGGGGAATGTTAAGTTATTGGAGAATTAATTATATTATGAAAGATTGACTTTATACTTAACTCTCTTACGTGTAATTTTATATTCAGTTAAAATAAAATTTCTTTATTCTAATTCTCTTGTCTTGTCTTCCCAATCTTTAAACCTTAATAACTCATACCACCTACTTAAGTTATATATGTTAATGTAAGTATGATAATTAATAGAAAATGATTGATACATACTCTATTTAGCACAAATTTTGACACTCGTCTCAGTTTAATTATTAAAATATAATACAAATATAATTATTTCAGTCGATTCTTATATCTTATATATATAGTTACATTTTTAAGTTTATCTACTTTTAATTTTAAATTAAAAAATAATAATTTTTGAATAAATGTGTTGTATAGTACAATGAATTAAAATATATACTAATTAGTGTCTATAATTAATAGTAAGATAAAATAAAACATTTCATGATCGCATTGTCTTACATTTTCTTTTAATATTACTTCCTCTTTAACTCCATTCTCATGTTGTTTTACAACATTGTTTTTAAGTTTTATGGATTTTTTTTTTTTTTTTTAAAGTTTAACGGTTAAGTTCCAAAGATTTTCTTTCTCTCTTTCTTTCTTTTTTTCTTTCTTTCTTTTTATGTAGTTAGATATTAGGGAATGAATTCTAAGGACATGTCTGGTTAGTGATGGTGACTATTATTGAATCAAATTAGAGAAATAAATTAAATTTGGTAAACTTCTTTGGGAAGCTAGTAATAGCTAAAACTTATTTTGATAATCTTCTATTAAAAAAATGAAAGTAGAATTTGTATTCCTTCTATTTTCTAAGAAATAGTCACTCCTTAATTCTTTGCTTTATATAATATATATAATATGTGAAGACATCATAAAAAGATTATTCTCTTGCTTCTTTACTAATTATATAAAAGAAAAATTAAACATTAAGATATAGTTATTTTTAACATGTTTTCTATGAAAGTTTTTTAATCTTATATCATTTTTATAATTTGATTAAAGAATAATCACTGCTACTAACTAAACAAGCTTTAAATCAAATTAGATGACTCATGAGAAATAAATCAAAGACTTTCGAGTCTAAACTTATATTAAATAAGTTCATGTTAATAACTCAAAATATAACCAAGAAACAATTAGTTAAATTTAAAAAAAAAAAAAGTCAAATGACAATTAAATATAATCATTTAATTAATTTTCATTTTTCTCTCACCTTCATATCATTTTCATTTTTCTCGTCTTCCACGCAATCACCAAAAGTAGCTTACGACTAATAAAGAAACTTTAAAATGACTAAAAAGATACGAAATAAAGAATTTAGAGATAAAAATGTAAAAGTAAAAGTTGAAATACAAATGATTTAAACTAAAAAGTTTAGGGCCTTGTCTATTCATTTTTGGCAAAATCTTAGGGCTACAGCCCTAGGCCCACAAGCTAGTTCATTAATCGTTTTTATGCCTGAGGGGTGGCCATGGCCCAAAATGAGGGCCAGGAGGAGCCCATCAACCTACTCACCGACTCACCACATCACCTTATTGCCCCCCAATTGGGTCATCCCTGACACAGGCCTGCGTCACGAAGCCCAACCTTCGAGAAACCAACCGTAAATGGAAGCCGAGGAAACAGCTAGAATTAGAATGAGGATAAACGAGGAGTAAAATTGATACCTGTGAGTACCTGACCTATTTGTGTAGGAATAGAGGCCCATTTTAGTCTTTTCACTACAAGAAAACTTAATTTCACTGACCACATATCACCAAGGTAAGAATTTTTCTCGGTGAAGCATCATTTTACCGACAAGAATTAAGTCTGAAACTTGAGAAACATTAGAAATACCAGTAGGATATATTATTTATTGTATAGACGTAATACTTGTCGGTAATTTAAAATCATACATATGTGTTACTTGTCAGTAATTGCAGCCAACACTCCGGTGGATGAGGGAAGGACGGAAAGCCAAATCACTGATGAGAAGCACGCCTGTAAATTTATTTTTGGAACAATAGTCTCGTCGGTAATTGAGGATCAATTTCCAACGTACATCTTGTTGGTAATTTCCACTCCCAACGCACCCTCGCCAATCAACTGGCTGCTTGCGTCAGGGAGTGCAGCTTTTTGATGCAATTTTCAGACATTATGCTTGTCGGTAATTTGCCATTCCCCAACTCCCTGCGAATCTGGCTACTGGCCACTGGTGTTGCAGCTTTTATTTGGCTCACCGACAAGGTTTAGGTCGGTAATTCATACATTGCCAACTTCATCTTTGTTAGTGATTGGCCTGGTCAACGAGAATTCTGATGCAACGCAGAGATGATCAGCTTTAGATTGTAGCAATGTGGGTCTTGTCGATAAGTTTCCCTATTGCCCTGCCGAACCGCCCTTCTGCTTTCATTTTGGTCTTTCTCCTTTCATTTTCATTTTCCTCTTCTCCCGTGAGTTGTTCTTGCTCTCCTTTCCTCCATTCTTCCCTTTGAAGCACTTTAACACATTTTTCTTCTTGCAGTCTAGTGGATCAAGCAATGGTAAGTAAAATTTAAGTAATATTATTATTTTTTATATATTTTATGTATATTTTATTTTTTTCTGAAATTTAAACCATTAAATATTGTTATTAATTAGTTCATTAGATATTAGTTAATATTATTAGATTTTCTTTTAGATAAATTTGATGAATAGTTATGAATAATGTTTTTATAAATTTTTAGTGAAATTTCAACCATTAATGACATAATTTTTATATTAAATATTTGATATTAGCTAGCATTTTCAAATTTGTTGTTTTGAGTATATTATAGGGTGAATATATATGATTTTTGTGAGTTTTGAAGGTTTTATATGGGCAAATTTTCATGTCTTACCGTTTTCTGCATTTTTTATCTTTTAATTAACTATAAAACATTGTATTTTTCATAGTTGAAGATTAAAAAAAATATTAAAAAAGTTGAGGGACTAAAAGTATGTAAACCTTAAAGTTGAATGACCTAAATTTTTTGGTTAAATAACCATGTTAGTCCCTCAACTTTTTGATTTAGGTCAAACTTATTCCAAAACTTTAAAAAGTACTAAAAATGTCCTTAAACTTTAATTTTTGGAACCAAAATAATCCCT